AGCAGGCAGGAAAATTACATGAGCAAGGAAAAAATCTAATTTTAAATTATAGCTGGAAGTATATAAAAGCAGTGATAAAGAAAACAATGTTACTTTGCGTCACTGAAGTACAAACAAATGATTCAGTTATAAGAGAACAGGAATTGAGGTTCACATTCAAATAATTAGCAAGTAGACATAAAATCCCAAGGAAAAGTGACAGATATATTCTCACACATTCCAAGTAAAGCCAAAGTGATGCAACATTTCTGGGAAGCAAAATTTTTAACATTTACAAGAAAATTCAGAGTTATTAATATCCTTTGACTCAATAATTACAGTTCAAGAAATCTATCTGAAGTAAATATTCTAAAATTAAGAAAGTGTACATGGAGCACAATAGCAGCGTTTATTATCATCAGAGTCCTGAAGCATCTTAAAGTTGCAACAATAGAAAAATGTTTTGATAAATTATGGCACATCCATTCAAGTGCATTTTTTGGAGACTAATACATAAAAAAAGATTCATTTAAAAAATATTTAAATATATAAAAAAATACTGCACAAAATCTCCCATATACTACCATTACTATTGTTAGGTGTCTAGTTATTTATTTATGTTGATGAGACAGAAGCTTGTCCTTTTTTATTTTCTAAAGGAATCCTGAAAAATAATTTTATTACTGTCCAAAATGGAAATTATTAGAGAAAGCATAGTGCGTTGGTATGGAAATAGGTTGGAATTTTAATAATCTGAATTCAGTTTGTTGGCTTACATGACGGACACTTTTAGTGCTGATTGAATTTTAGCTTACCGTTTGGTTAAGTTGGAGAATGGGAGCAGTTCTGGGTCCTGGGCAAAGGAATATGAAAGGAATTGCTTTCACATCAATAGGATAAGAGCTTGCATACCTCCACCATCCTGTCTCCCTGCTGAAGTGTCCTTAAAGTCTGCATGTTCCAGGTAGTATAATCATAGAAAGAAGAGTGGCCCAACCTACAGTGGGCAGCCACATACATGAGAAGTAGACTTGACTGAAGCCAGTGAGGTGTCTCAGGGGTCTCCTGTTCCTACAACAGAGCCTAATCTATCCTGACTAATGCACATTACTTAATAACTGCATGAACTTGTGACAGTTACTCAATCTTTCTAAGTCTCAATTTCCGCACATGTAAATCTAGGCTTGAGGCTACCAAAACATAGATCGTACAGGGTTGCTTTCAAAATTGAGTGAAAATTTTAGACAGAAAATGATTGTATGATACCTTTGGTTAAGTTTGAAATTTTTTTATTCAAAATAATATTATTTTCTTTACCTATTTCTGACAGTCTTTTATTTCCCCATAGACATGACACTTTAGAACTAAGAGCAATAACTGTATGTTTAGTAATCAGTTAAAGAACTGGTCAGAATATTTAAAAAAAAAAGCATAAAATAGGGAGAGCCTCAGGTTTAAGAGCAGGCTAAGATAAGGAAAGAAAAGAAAAGGGGATCAAGAAATAAGGATAGAAGTAAAACCTGCAAGGTTGCCTATAGTTCTATGAGGCTCGTGATAACACGAAAGACGGAAACTCACATTGTTTTAAATTTCACTCAAAAATAACCTCCAAAGAGTCATGACTTTGTATGTGTCAGTTATTAAATGTAGCAACTCACAATGTTATACCTTTAAAAAACATATTTTTTTTCCAAAGCAAAAGGAGAAATTACATATGGAGTCTGGGGTGGTGGCAGTGAGAATTAAAGAATTAGTAAATTTAAGGAAAGCAAGGAAGAGATGGCGGATTATGTAGTTTAGTCAGAAGAAAAATAACATCTAAGGACCATAGTCACAGAAGTCATTACCATGCTCTTGTAAACTGGCTTAGACTTTTTAAATAGTATATTTTTCTCTGGGACTATAAGCTCCATTAGCAGAAACTAGGATATAACCCTGAAACTATCTATCTAGCTCTACTAAGTTATTTCCTGTCCCTCAACTCCATTACATACAGCAGTAAGGCCCTCAATGGTTAAGCAAGCACTAATATTTTGGAAATGTAATAAATGCACCTGCAAGATTTGCAAGATTCCAACAATAATCCCAAAGGGAAGATATACTGATCCAATCACTTTGGTACTGCATCACAAGGCACTGAATAGAAAAGTCAATAAAAGCATCCGAGCACAGAGAAGCAAGCTGTAGTCAATATCAGATTTTGAAGGGAACTGTCAGATAAAAAATCATTTAGATTTACTGAAATTTGCTTCCTAATATTTTGGGTTTAGACTGTCTGGAATTCAGAGTATATATCTCCAGACTTTTCTCTTTTTTTTTTTTTTCCTTTATCTTCTCCTTAACCTTCTTCATCTACTATAATAAGCTATTGGTATTACACCCATTCTGAGAAAAAGCCTGCTGTCTGAGTTATAATTGACCACTTTATAATACCAAAACTTACTTATAGAAAAGAAATTCAGTTATCACCAAATTCACACATTGACTTCCAGTTAGGCTTAAGTAAAAACCATTTATATTATAGGAAAACAAAAAGAGATGTAACCAGAAGTCATCTATTATGTTTGATGTTGACTTTATACTTCGAGTCACAATTCTTGAAGACATAAAGCTTTTTTATGTCACTCAAGAAGAAAGTAGTTAAGCTCCACCATATGTGGCAAGTGACACTATCTGAGCGAGAGCCCAGCCCTTCAACTGCAGTGGGATGGTGACGGGCATGGACTTGGGAAATAGATGGAGCTTTCCGTGGAGCTTTGCTGTGTTCCCTGGAGCAAACTCCTTACCATGCATGAAACCAGCATGATGTTGCTTCAGGCTGATGTGAAGCGCAGCTCTGGAGACACAATTAATACAATGATCGTTATCAATCTTTTCTCTTAGTAAATTTCCTCTCTGTGTAGAAGGTCACTTCTGCAGAGGTTAGCTTTCTCTGTCTCCTAGATTTCCGTGTCATGTCAAATCTTCATCTTGTAAATAAGAAATTGAATTCAAGTGGAGGCATTTTAAAAAAAAAATTTCTTTGGACATTCCTACATGTGTCCAAAAATCATGATTGAAAACATAAAATTTTGGATATGCAAACATACAAAAATATTTATACAGATTATAAATTCCATTCAGGATGATGGTGAGTTTTCAGATGACGATCCCCAAACATAGTCAATTAAGAACCTAAGATAAACTAGATCCATTCCAGAATAATAACTAAGGAGGAATTGGAATGGGTTGAAGTCAATTGCAAAGAGTGGCTTATGGAGTAAGATGAACCTCGAACCTAGAAATGATGGGTAGAAGGGAACAGAAATGTATTTCTCTCATTGAAATTATTCTTTGCACAGATAAATTGCACTTCTTTTTTTCTATAAATTATGAAGTAGAGATAGTTGATTTTACCTAAACCCTGTGACTTCCTCCGGATATGAAAAAACAAATTATTGTGCTGTACTATTAGAGCTGACCAATACCTCTAGTTGCTCCCCAATGAATTACAGTACTAAAAACTAAATCAGAAATTAAATACAGAGGTAACAACACATACATTTTTTCAAAATACAAGAAGCACTAGAGCTATCTAACAAGAATAATTAGAAAGGAACTATTGGCTATAGGCAAAATGTTTTTTAGAAAATTTAGAAAACAAATTGGAAGGAAAAAATAACTAGAAAAATAGATAAAGTGTGTTCACAAAAATTGAACTATAAATAATGAGATAGCATGTAAAAGGATGTCAAGGCAAAAACAGCATGGCTTTACTATTTTAACAACAATGAAGTCTCTGGGGGAATTTAACAAGTTAAGACACCATTCCTGGAAATTGCTATTTCTGACTCTACATTTGAAAAACCTCTGGGCACTTATGCTTAGAAGCTTCCTAGAAAATAAAAGTTGCTGTGGTCATGTAGGTTTGAGAGAGTGCACTTTCTTAATTGAAGTATTTCTCAGAAGCTTTTGTTTGCCATTATGCATTATTGTAAATCTCTAAAAGGGCAAGGCAGCCAGAAGAATTTCCAAGGTTATTTGATCACAGAATTCTCTACATCAAAGAAAATATTTAAAAGCATCCTGAGTAACAGTCATATTGTTTGAAACACACATTAAGAAATACACTACTTAGCATATGAGTAGTCAGTCCAGCAACACAACAAGTCTGTATCTATATTGTCTAAGTTAGTGGAATCTACATTGTCTAAATTTCCTAATTGTCCGTCACATGATTTGTTTTTCTGTGTTCAGATCATTTGCCCTGCATGTGCTTTCTTTATAAAAGGAATGTAATGGAACTCCCCCATAACCCCTGCCAAATTTTCATGTTTCAAACAGACTGATATATTCAGTAATATTGCAGCCAGTGCACTCAGGATAAATATTCGATCAACCCCTAATAATGTTATTGTAGTCCTGATATTAAACTGACATACTGGCAGAACAAGGGGATAAATGGAAGAGATACAATCATAAAATCTGAGAGGCAATAGTTGCCTTAGAGATATTCTGGTCAAAGTCTCATTTTATAAATGAATAAATTGAGGTAGGTGGAAAATGACCTTTTCAGGGTCTCTTAGTCAAATGCTGAAAATCATTTCTCCCATTACAATGTAGCCCTTGATGCCTAAAGCAAAAGGAAATTAAGGCAGCTCTTTAGTTAAAAAGTGAAAAAAAAAATGTTAGTTTTTACTTTTTAAAAAAGTCTTTAGCTGGGCATGGTGGCACACACCTGAAATCTTAGTGGCCCAGGAGGCTGAGACAGGAGGATCTCAAGTTCAAAGCCAGCCCAGCAATAGAGAGGCACTAAGCAACTCTCGTGAGATCCTGTCTCTAAATAAAATATAAAATAGGGCTGGGGATGTGGCTTAGTGGTTGAGTGCCCCTGATACCTCTGCCCCCCAAAATTCTTTAACAAATCAATAAAAGAAAAAAGTAAATATAATTATTTCCATCTTTGTTTACCTGTTCCCCAAAATTCTTTAACAAATCAATAAAAGAAAAAAGTAAATATAATTATTTCCATCTTTGCTTACCTGTTCCTGACATCAAACAAATGTCCTTTTTATTTAGTAGTTTTTCATTAAATGTTTATGAATCAAATGGAGTGAACATGTGTAGTCAAAGTTTGCAGCATGAAGCGTTTCCTTTATAAAATGATTCTTCCCATGATCATATGTCTTGTATATACAATCCCTTTAACTGTGACCTCACATGCTGTGCTGCAAAAAGAAGAAACCCCACGCTGAGAGCTGATCTTTGGGGACACAGCAAGGGCAGGGCAGCATTTCTTCCAACAGCTATATAACACCCTCTAGGACAGACTTCTCACAAATACCAACCGTGGGGTAAGTCCCTCAAACTTGAGCCTGAAAGACAGAATGAACTTGATGATGAACTATTTATTTTCCCCAGGTCCCTACTAGGGAGCAGAGAGCTCTCTTCAAAAGGAAATTGGGGGTGGAGGACTATATGTTCAGCATATAAAATGAGCTTGATAGATAGTCTTTTTTAAAATTTCTACATTTAGTGTTATAAAACTGTCTTCAACATTTGAAAGCTAAGGATTGGATATGTCATGTTAATATCGTTCAACACTTATAACATTTTGAGTTAAAACTGAAAATGTCTTTTTCCAGTTGGATACATTTTTTAAATGGGTTTTCTGCTGAAAGGTTCTACAAATATTCATCTGCATGTTGAAATATCTGCCATGACTTACATCAAAAAGATGAAATGCCCAAGCAAATGACAAGACAATGAAAATGGAAATATGGTTATTAATTTAAATTTAGCATGTTTTGAGTAAGATGTGATTACATCAACTGTTATGATACCATAGTTATTAAAATATTGACTTGAAAAAAACTGGAAACTTCTTATAACTCAAAAAATATTCATTGAACAACTTCTCTTTCATATTCTAAATGTAGTCCTCTCCTGAGACAAACTCCTCTATGGTATAATACATGCATGGGACATACTTCCTCCTCTCAGAACACATTATGTAGCACATGCATATAGGATTACGGAATATGAAGGGATATAAAAGTAATGTGCACGTGAATGAGTAAGATAAAACATAAATGATGAAATAATCACTGGGTAAATATGGGGCATAGATTCTTGAGGAAGGATGAACTAGAATGTGTATATAATTTTGGATAGAATTTCAGTTGATAGAGGAAATGGAAGAACAGGAGACTGAGGTTGGGAATGTCCCAATGAGCAAAGGAGAATACTGTAAATTGTACTTACATCAAATGCAATAACAAAAACTGTATGATGGTGGCATAAAAACACACACATAGACCAATGGTATAGAAGGGAGGACACAGAGACCCACACAGCTACTGTTAACTGATCCTTGACAAAGACACAAGAAACTTACATTGGAGAAAGATATCCTTTTTTTTTTAATAGATGGTGCTGGGAAAACAGGACATCCACATGTAGAAGACTGAGACTAGATCTCTATTTCTTACTAGGCATAAAAGTCAAATCCAAATGGATCAAAGACCTGAGAATTAGATCAGAAACTTGGCAACTGTTACAGGAAAATGTAAGGTCAAAACTCCAACATATAAGCATAGGCAATGACTTCTATAGGACCCATATGGCACAGAAAATACTATCAGTAATTAATAAATGGAATGACATCAAATTAAAAAGCTTCTACGTAGCAAAAGAAACAAGAACATCAAGAAAGGGCCTACCAAATGGAAGAAATTCTGTTCTAATTACTCTTCCAACAGAGGATTAATATCTAAAATATTAAAAAAAACTCAAGAAACTTGCCACCCTAAAACAAATAACCCAATCAGTAAATGGGCAAATGAATAAACAGACATTTTTCAAAAGAAGAAATACAAATGACCAAGAAATATATTTGAAAAAAGTTCAACTTCTTTAGCAATTAGGGAACTGCAAATCAAAACTATGCTGAGATTTCATCCCTACTTAAAATGGCATCCATCAAGAATACAAATAAAAATAAATTCTGGAAGGGATGTGGGGGAAAAACATGTTTACAGTGTTGTTGGGATTGTAAATTAGAAAACCACTATGGAAAGGATTATGAAGTTTCCTCAAAAGACTAGGAATGGAACCACCATATGAACCAGTTACACCACTCCTTGGTATGTATCCTAAAGAATTAAAATTAGCATACTATAGCAATACATACATATCTATGTTCACTGCAGCACAGTTCACCAGTGCCAAACTATGTAATAATCCGTAAATGGATGGATGGAAAAAAAATATGGTATATATACACATGGGGTTTTGTTCAGCCATAAAGAACAATGAAATTATGTCATTTGCAGGAAAATGGATGAAACTTGAGAGCATTAAATTACACAAAATAAGACAAAATCAGTCAGGGGACATAGATATTCTCTCATATGTGGACACTAAAAAAGTAGGAGATACTGGGAAATGATATTGTACTAATTATATTGTTATATTGTATGCATGTATGAATATGAAACAACAAATCTCACTATTATATAATTATAATGCACTAATAAAAAAGGAAAACCCAATATAGTACATCAGGGCTTAAATTATATTATCAAAATAAGTCATTTGACAAAATCTAATATCTAAAATCCTTTCATGATAATAAATACTCAAGAAAATAGGAAAAGGAGAAATTTCCCCAATCTGATGAAGGTTATCTACAAAATCATGCAATGAACATCAGACTTGCTGATGTAAGACTGAATACTTTTCCCCTATGATCAAGAATAAGACAACCAAGTCCACTTTTACACCCTCTATGCAATATTGTACTTGAGACTTCAGTGAGGGCAATCAAGCAAAATACAAAATAAGAGACATCTTGGTTGAGAAGGAGGAAGTCAAACTATCTCTCTTTTCATGTTGCTTGGATTGTATGTAGGAAATCCCAAGAAATCTTCTAAAAATCATTATAACTAATAAACAAGTTCATTGTGGTTATAAGATACAAGATCAATATGCAAAATCAATATTTTGCTAAATTGCAAATATATGCTGGCCATTAAAAAATTCAATCTAAAATATTACGAAAGTATAAAGTACTTAGAAATATTTTTAAATGCAAGAATTGTGTACTGAAAACTACATCATTAAAAGAAAGGCATCCTATGATTAAGGCCTTATTGAGATTCCAATACTTCCCAAATCGATCAAGAGATTCAACACAACTTCTATCAAATCTAACAGATACCCACCGTAGGCTTTTATTTCCTTTCCTTCTTTCCTTCCTTTCTTCCTTTTTTGGGCAGGGAGAGCGGGGCAGAAATTGACAGGTGAATTTTAAATTTCATAAGGAAATGCAAGGGGCCCAGAATAGCCCAAACAAAGTAATCCTGAAAAGAACACATTTGGTGTAATTATACTTTCTCATTTGAAAACTTTCTGCAAAGCTGCAGTAATTGATACAGTGTGTTATTGACATAAGGTTGACAGATAGATCAATGGAATGCAATTGAGAATAAAGAAATATTTTTCTTTTCCTTTTTGTAACTAGGGATAGAATTTAGAGATGCTTTACCACTGAAGTACATCATCAAGCACTTTCTGTTTACTTTTATTTTGAGAGAGAATCTCGCTAAATTGCTTAGGGCTTTGCTAAATTGCAATCTTCCTGCCTCAACCCCTCCAGTTTTCCGGACTATAGGCATAGAAGGACAAGCTGAAAGTTCTAATGTACAACATGAGGACTATCATATTCAGGATTCTTGCTAAATAAGTAGCTTATGCCTTTTCTTGCCCTGTGCAATGATGGATATGTTAATTCATTCCACTACAGTAACAATCTTAATGTATATATACATTTATACACATATAAACATCCATATATATATACAAGATAAAAATGCATATATCTTATATCAAATACCTTAATATATTCTTAATATTTTTAGTTGTAGATGGACAAAATACCTTTATTTTATTTATTTATTTTTATGTGGTGTTGAGAATCAAACACAGTGCCTCATATGTGCAAGGCAAGCGCTCTACCACTGAGTCACAATCCCAGCCATCAAATACCTTAACATATTTTAAAGAACTGATTAAAGGATTCAGATTAACACTTTTCAAAAAAAGATAAATGAATGGTTATTTGTTTTTTCAGTAGAACCCAACAACATTTGTCATTAATGAAATGTAACTGAAGACTATGCATGACATAATACCACTTCACACTTACAAGAATGTTTATAATCAAAAAGACAAGTCATGGGGATGGGGCTGTGGATCAGTGGTAGAGCGCTTGCCTAGCATGCATGAGGCCCTAGGTTTGATCCTCAGCACCCCATAAAAATGAATAAAGAGAGGTATTGTGTCCATCTACAACTAAAAGTATTTAAAAAAAACCAAGTCATAACAAATACTAGTAAACATGTAGTAAAATTTGAACCCTTACTGGTGGCAATGTAAAATGATGCTGTGTCTCTAAAATGGAGTTGTTTATCTCAAAATGTCAAATACAGATCCAGCAATTTTGATCCTAGGTAAATAAGAAAAAAAGAAAACATGCCCACACAAAAACTTTTATACTGATATTCACAGAAACATTGTGAATCATATCCAAAAAGTGGAAAGATGCATGCAACATGGATAAACTTCAAAATGATTATGCTAAGTAAAAGAAGTGTCACAAAATGAACTACTATATGGTAACAGCATACAAAATATTCAAAAGAAACAAGTTCAAAAGACAGAAAATAGACTACTGTTTGCTTATGGTGGAGGAAAGAGGGAGAAGAAGAAGAATGGAGAGTGACTGGGACCTGATGAAAGATAGAGGAGTGGTGGAGGTCATTCTGCAGAGAAGCCATTAATTATTGCAGAGACCATGAGAAATCTTGAGTTTATTCATCATCTAAGAACGATTGAGAGTCCATGAAGGCTATTAAGCAGGGGAGGACCATGATCATATTTGGGTTTTTCAGGGTCTGCAAATGATAAAGGCTTGATAGTGGATAAAGAGACTAAAAAGGATGTGAAGGATGAAAAAAGAAATAGTAGAAATGGTGTGATGGAAATAAAAAGGTAGCTCAATGGTGGAGCATTTGCACACTCTGCAGTAGGCCCTGGGCTCAATTCCCAGCACTACAAAAACAAAATAAATATTCAGTAGTAAGAACAGTTTCAATATTATTGGTTGCTGCCTGAAGTTCTATTAAGAAGGAGCCTGAAAAATATCCAACAGATTTAATAAAATGGAAATCATAGTTGATCCTATCCATTTCTATTTCTATGAATTTGCTGGGCTAGAAATCAGAATGGAATATTTGAATAAATAAGAAAGGAGGTCAACTTACATTGTATGGTTTATTCTTGTTGTGGAAAAGAGAAAAAAATGAACTCAAAGGAATGTTTTTGTGATCCTAAAGGTAGAAGATCCTTCAGTGTGTGTGTGTGTGTGTGTGTGTGTGTGTGTGTGTGTGTTCAAAACAACGAGAAAGACCCACTAGAGAAGAAGGTAGAAATAAATATAATAGTGCAGAGTTTCTAAGATGGGGAAAATAAGCAGGAGATAAAAGATGAAGCAAAAGGAATCAGAACAGATATAGCTCTCTCTCTCTATACACACACACACACACACACACACACACACACACACACACACACACGTAGTTTGGGATAGGGACATAAAGGACTCCCTATTTAAAGGTCTTTATTCCAGGGACAGAATAACCATCCATATTCATATAGAAGCTCAGTCTCACATTTTTCCACTTAGAAAATCCCAATCCTCCATTTCCATACCATGCTTTCTCCTATTTTATCACCTTTGCTCTTTCTTCCAGCTTCCAAGTATAAACTTTCTTGCAAGTTATAGTTGCTATTAATGAGAAGAATCAGGATTTCAGAGGGGTACAACAGAGAAGGAAATACTGCTGCAATCAGAGTTAGAAGGAAATTTTCTCTGTACAGTATAATGCATGTTTATGTAAATTTACCACTAATAAACCTGAAAGAGTTTTCCTAAGACCCTTAAATTTCTGTTTTAATATTAAAAAATACCAAGGCAATAAGGATTGTAGCACTATTAATTGATATTTTACTATAATTCTAGAAAATAGTCAAAGTGAAAATTTTTTATCACATATATTGAATGACTGTATTCTTAAAATAAGTAAAATCTCTGTACAGTAATATATCATTACATATTTGAGAAAAAAGTATGTTGAACATAAAGATTTGCACATACACATACAGTTCAAGAATACAGAATATCACTAAATAAAATTTCCTTGTAAGAAAGTGAGTGTATGAACAGTCTTTGGACTAAATTCATAATTATGCCAAGTCATACATTTTCTTAAGCTCTTTCCATATTTGTTTAATTTTTAAAATGTGCTCTTCTCTAAGAATCGCTGTAGGGAAAAATAGCTAATAAAGGCATTAAAAAGAGATTCCTCATGACATTGCAATTTATATTGCATGTTTTACAAAGTCAGCCATAAAATTTTAAGATGCCTCCCTAAAATCTGAAAACTATATGGTTCACATCAGCTACTGAGAAGTCAAATATTGATTTTCCAGCCAGAGACGGAAAAGACCTTTCTTAAATGAGATCACAGCAATAAATGCCTAAGTCCTGGCTCTCCAAAGGTAGATTTTGGGCAATATTAGTAGGATCAGATTGGCTAATCTCCCTTACTTTGAGATTCTTTTGGGAGTAATGATTTTTAAATATAGAGTCAACTATAAACACTTAAAGATTTTTTAGAGCAATGTCAGCACCTTAAAATTACACTCAGGAACAAGTAGTGGGCAATGCAATATGGTTTGCAATGCATAATATAATGTAATTATTCATCTAAACCTTGTATCCTGCTCTGGAGAACAGCACATCAAATTACTAACTCTTCCAAAGAAGTACAAGGGAAGATTATTGTGACTATAGAGCTCAGTTAATTACAGAGAAATCTAGCTTTTAAAAATCATGTATGGCACTGATGGAAATGTTTTTATTTTTTAATTAATCAATGCTATAGGCTATTTTATATATATATATAAAATATTTTAATTGCTATATATATAGCAATTAAAATATTTTATGGAAAATATAAGGTATATATTATAAATTAACTAGTTATAGAAGGTTTACATGTATCATTTTTATTTAGGTAAAAATGTCTAAGGAATCTGTAGCATGCTTCTTAAAATAATGAGTTTCCCATATTTGCACATATGAGATGACATTATAAAGATGAGGATATTACTCTGATAAAGGAAAATTATAAGATCTTTTTATGAAACATTATTTTCAATGTTATCTAATCTGCAGAGATTATAAAAGTATCAGTATCATATCATAGGATAACTATTATATCTGCTACCATGATTTTGAAATATAAAGCAATCCCACACAATATTGACATCTTAGAGACTGTACTTCTGAACCCTGGTATTTATCAATAAATCTAGCTATTTCTCTGCACTCCAAAAATGCTTCCTTTTATGTCTATATATTTCTGGCAAAAATTATTTTTATTCCTGCAAAAGAAATTCAAGAATGCCACTTCTCAATGAATCTCTGGGGAAACTAGAAATAGAACCTACTTAACCTTATAAAGTCCATTGAAATAAAGCATGTTTTCAACCCACATACTTAATCATTAAATACTGACTAGTTTATTCTAAAATTATGACCAAAATATCAATTATGACCAGGATATCCAATCTCATCATTCCAATTGAACACTATGCTAGAAAAATTAGCTAGTGCAATAAAAGAAGAAAAATAAATGAATGGGACAAAGATTGCAAAGTGTGAAATGAAACTGTGCCTGCTCATAAATGTCACAAATGTATTTACCTAGGTAAAAACATCAAAGGAATCTGTAACATGCTTCTGGAAGTAATGAGTTTCCTATGTTTGTAGGATATAAGATAGTGTGTGTACACGTGTGTACGTGTGAGTGTGTGTGTATAACCAAACAAAATGCAACATAGGTATAACTCAAACAGAATATGTATAAGATATGTTTCCTGGAAATTAGAAGGCTCTAAAATCAGAGGCTTAAATAAGCAAAAAGATGGGCTATATTCTCTGAATTGGAAAGAAGAAATGAAAGTTAGCTGGCAAATATGCATGTTAAAGATGGGTAACATCACTAAACATTGGAAATATATAAATTTAAGCCAGGATGAGATACCCCTCCTCATCTACTTAGACAGGAAAACAAAACTGACAATTTCAAGTACAGACAACAATGCATGACAACTACAACTATTTCTGATGGAAATGCAAACTTGTACCTTTCTTAGATTTATAATATGAAATTTAACAATATGTAAATATTTTAAGGTTAAAGATAACTAAAATTTTACTCCTGACTATTTGCCC